CTCAAAAAACCAAAGGATCAAAAAGTCAATCGTCCATGCACCATAGTTTGACTTTTGTGCTTGAAATAAGCCAAATCACTACCTATGTCCATTCCTACCATTTTAACACTTTAGACACCTCATATTAATGATATCCAAGCTGTTCAAAGTCTCAAAACACAACTGGAAGATCATTTGTTCAAACTGTCTTAAAGTGTGCATTTTGCTTCAAGAAGAAGAAAACTTCAAAGCAGGGAGTTGATTGAAGATCTCTGGGTTTCTCAGCTTATTTTGTCTCTTCAATACAGTCTACAAGAGGTAGGTGATGTTTCACCCTGTCATTTTGCATCACATTGACATACTTTGCAATTTTGAGGTTTTTTGAAAAAAAAAACTATGTACATACAACCTCTGTAGATTTTGTTTGCGGGTTTTGATGCTATCTTGTTTCTAATTCTGTTTATAAATGATGTTGGTCCATTTCTGTTACAATAGCATCCATATATTATGATTTTGGCTTTAGAAATCCACATATGATTGGTTTATTTCTTGATCCTGGCTTGGTTTTCCCACTTTGGCCATTTTCAACTCATATGTAATTTTCAATCATAATGAATTTTTGAGCCAACTTTGTGTCTAAACTTAAACATGTTTTGAGTATGCTAGCAGAGGGTAGTATGCATTAGGGTCAATTATGTTTAAAGCTAGCACTGTTACATAAGGATCTTTTGACTGTCAGCACTAGGTTTTCATGTTAGGATGGTGCTCATGGAGCTGTAACTTTTAAAGCATATGGTTGTCTTCATTTTCAAAAAACCATATCTCAAGTTTTGAACCAAGTGATAGACCATATACCAGTTGTGATTTAAGATGTATTCACATGAAATTTGCACTTGAATTCCATGGTTTATGTGCACACCTTATCTAGGCCCTAATCACCAAATGCTTTAACTGAGGCTGTCAAAAAGGTATTGAGGATGTCTTGAGTGCATGAGCACTGTCAGTCCTGCCTTGAGCATGATAAAACTCTAGCACCATCAGACCTAATCTTAAGCTTACAAATGTGTAGACATTGAATTTAGTGGTAGGTTACAGTTGCCATCTAGGCACACTAACTTCAGCCTGTGCAAAAATCTATTTTTCAAAACATATCATGATAGTCTAACAGTCATTTTTTGCTGCTGTTGAGTTTGTTCCTTCAAAACATAATCAGGGGTGAATGTATTTCAACCTAGTGCAGACTAATATTACATTGATAGAATTCATCCAACCCTGTTGACCAATCCATGTGACTAACCAACAAAACTAACTGTGTAGAATACAACAAGTTTACATTAGCTGATCATTTCAAGTTAGGTTGTTTAGAGTTTTTTAACCCTTGTGGTTGAGTTACTCTGCCTGGTGTTGATTGTACTCAAGTCTTAGATAGAATTTTTGGAAGAACACTGTTGTTGCACATGTAGGATAGTGATCCTACTACCATTCTTGTTTTGAAAAAAAAAGGGCTGCTGATTTGAAAGTGGAATTCTCAGCCTATGGTATTTGGATTTTGAACCTTGAGGCTTTTGTTTAATTCTTGATGAAACATTGTTGTGTTATGAGGGCGTCCTTTTTTGATCAGCTTGTTAACTGTCTTGGAGACTCTTGTAAAGACTGTTGTCCTAGGATGGTCATTTACAATTGAGAGCAGTTTTGGTTAGTAATAGGTATCAGCAAGATAGGGTCCTTTCCTTTGGTAATATCAATTCATACCCTTGGGTATGATTTCATTAGGCCTAGCATACCCGATCCTTGCCAAATTTTGAAGTTAGTTTTGGTTATTGCCACTGTTGAAAGCTCAGAACAGGTTTGAGATGTGATTTGTTGTTGTAGCATCTGTTTATATTGCTTTTACATGATTTGTCTACTTTACTTTGGCCTGCTATTGAATTTAAACTGTTGGAAATTCCCCAATACCAAAACACCAAATCATGTTGACAGTTGTGTGTGAAGGCATACAATACCACCTTTTGCAAGCCTCATACCAAAATTTCATTCCTGGATTTTTATTGACCTCTTCTCTTAAATTGATTGATTCTAAACCACATTTCAAACTTGTCCATACTTTCCAAACTCATACAATTTGATTGCATCTCATTCAAACTTCAAAAATGCATTTTATTAAGCATCACACTAGCATGAACATGCCATTTCACATTTCTGTTGAATTTTGATTGCACTAACTGTTACATTTCATCAAATACATTATTTGAAACATGTTCATGTTCTTTCTTGAGTAAGACAGCAATTGGTTTGTGAGGTGAGGTTCAAAACACATCACATAGCATCAAAATGCACATGCTTTCGAATTTTCAAGAGGGAGGGGAATTTCAAAAAAATGACCACCACCATCCTACTCCTCATGATTTTCTACCCCAAATCCATATAAATTTTGTGCCGATCCGATTAACGGTTAGGAAGTTATGATACAAAACGTAAATCCATTTGTTGTGTGTTTTTGCCCAGAAAGAAAATTGTCACTTTTTATACTAAACTTCCACCAGTGGAAGTTACTTGTAAAACTTGTCATTTTTCACTCCAACTTCAAAAATTCATAACTCGCTCGTTTTTTATCGTTTTTTGCCCGTTCTTTTTCCGTTGTGTTCGTATTAATGTCTATTTTCATGCTGTATTTTTATTTTTCATGTTTGAATTTTTTATCATCAAGTTTCTTTATGTACAAGTGTGCGCGTTTTCACGATCGTTTATGTAATTGCAGATGAATTTTTAATTGTTTCCTTTCAATATTTTTCTTGAAACTTGTTTGAATCCATGCCTATATATGTTAGTTAACATGCTAGGATTTATTTCTTGGTTGTTACCATTTTTTTATCTGTTGATTTCCATTAAATGCGAACTGTTGTCACAGTGTCGATTACTTCATCTGTTAACTGTTACCTCCTGAGTTATGAGGTTAAACTGATTCACCTGTACATATTCATCTGTACATAACAACAAGCTTCCTTTCTTACACGAGTCGCCGTACTCACTTTTAACCGTCCCGCCGTGGACATTCTCCCCTTTTATCCTAGCCTTAGGATTTGAGTCGCCGCACTCATGTTTACCGTCCCGTCGTGGACATCCTTTATCATAACAATCTTAACTTAGAAGAGGAGTCGCCGAACTCCATGTAAGTACTTCACTATGAATACTTACTTCCCTTTGGGAACCTTGACCACAGTCAAGAGATCCTCATCCCTAGATAGGGGAACTACGATTGCTCTGATTCCATTCCCGTCCGGATACGTAGGCACGAGATGCGATGTCTTCGCGAGCAAATTTTGTACATACCTTTTCCCTTAGCACTTTTCCCTTAGCAAGAAAACTTTAGCAAACACAAATATTAATAAGAGGTTCCTGTAGAGTACTACAGATACTTAGGATGCTATCACCTTCCCTAGGTATAACCAACCCCCGAACCTTTAGATCTCTCTTTGCTCAGCTTTAGGCCTTGTCCTTCTGCTTTGCATTTTTATAGGTCTTTCTTTCTTTACACCTTTCCTTTTTGGATAAATTAAAGTTCGGTTGTAAATGAAATATGATTCAAGTTAATCAATAGCTTGAGATCCAAATTTCACCGCAACAATGAGCATGTATGTATTTCTTGGGACTAACAACTGGTAATGTCTTTGATTAATATTGAAAATGCAATGGAAATAACAATAAATGCCAACTTTCATTATTCGTATTCCAAATTAATACCCTCATTCCCTCTTCTCCAATATCTCTCTCTCAACCTTCACATGAGCCTTTCTCTTACCCTTCCCTCTCCAAAACTGCGTATTCATTAGAAACAGAAAAGAGAAAACACAAACTAAAAGAAACTATTTCAAATAAATACGCTATAGTTAGATCAACCTAAAATCCCAATTCGAAACCCTTACCCATAAAAATAGATGCCCTTCTCTCTCTAAGACGTTAATGGATATCCAAAAATCGTATGATGGTAGAGGACAACAAGCAATCGGTGAAGAAGAGCAACAATATGAATGAACAAGTAGACAAGATTCGAAATGAAAAGCAAGAGAAATCTACCGATTTGGAGTTTTAACAATGGAGGTAAAATGTTTTTTCTCGTCCGGCTCACCTTTCCTTGTTTGTTCAGCTATTGATTTCGTCTGAGTATGTGGGTTAACCCGGATCTTGCCTTTTCTAGGTTGAAGGTTTAGCTCGAAATTGTTGAGTTTCGATGTCACAACTCAACAATCTTGATAAAGGATTAGAGCTTTCAGCATGATTTTATTAGGTTTTTTTTATTTGAAATTTGGCAGAGTTTCAACTCGATTTTTCTCCTCCTCTTGTGTGATTAATCTGAGCTCTATTTATAGGGGATTTGAAGGAATAATTCGTACACCAAAAGGGATAAGAATTCTGAGAAAATCCCTTCCACTACGTGAGGTTGCGCGCGGAGGATTTGCAATGCCGTTGGGGAGTTTTTGCAAAAAGGATTTCGTGGGGGGGACCAAGGTGATGGTGACCTGTTACTTTGTCTGTAGCTACTTGTGAAAATATCTGGTTTTTACTCTATATTTCACGGTGAAGTTTGTGACTTTTACCGCTTGGATTTGTGCTGATGTGGTAATTCTTCCTTTGACTCAAAACAAATATTGACCACTTTTAATTCTGGTTTTGGAAGCATCTTGGTAACATCTAATCACTTAGTTATTCCTTAAATGCTTATTCGATTTCCTTCTCTAAAAATGACCTGATCATTACCTTCTGTTTTCGTGCAGGTTGTAAGTCTCTTTCTTCGACCCTCCAAGGATGCAGGCTAAGTGAAAGCGTCATACATATTTGGTATTCTGGCTTCGCGCCAACATTGCTCAACTTAGAAGCCTTGAACTGCTCTGTTGCTGGAGTTTGTAGCGGTGAACTCCAGTCCTCGATCTTAGCTTCACCGAAAATAATGTAAATGTCGTAATTTTCCCTCTTGAAAACATTTTTTGAAATGATGAACAAGATATTCTTGCTCTTCTTAACTGTTACACGGCTGACACCAGCAGCAGGTCTCGTCCCAAGTTAAGCATTGCCTTGCAACTCTTCTTTTCACTTCTGATTTGTTTGGACCTAACAGATGCATCACCTTCTAGCCCTTCCACATCGTTGTCTTCCTCAACTACAGGCTTATCATGGTGGATCTTTTGTTGTTTGAGATGCGCAGCAAACAGCTCTTCCTGAGCTTGAGCAATCATAGCGGGTTTGCGAGAAGTTGATTTTGGGCTGTAACAACACAACACGAGGTACCATTTCTACAGCTACCGCACTTGTAACATGTGATAGAATAGATGTTGAATCCTACTTTGTGCCATATTTGGGCTCTCTAAGTATAACACTCGCGGTCCATGCTTACCGTCATATACAAATAATCCTCTTTGTTATGTTACCATTAATTTATTCATACTAATATGCCTTTATCGTTCTTTTTCATGTGCATGACGGGAGTGGACATGCTCCTTGAGTTGCATATTGGTTGGATTGCTGTAAGAATGAAGCTCTTATTGATGTTTATATGGCGCTGCTTGGAGCCGAAGGCCTTGAAATTCATGGAATCCTTGCGACATTGTTGCTCCTAGGTTTATCATGGAAAGAGTTACGAAGTATTTTCCGAAGCGGTTTATTGAGTTGTTCTTAAGTGGGGAAGCGGTGGCATGCTTGTGATTGATCTGAAGGAATTGCAAGGCTGAAAATCACATTCTGTTTTTCCACCATTAAATCACACCTTTGAATTAATCCACCTTTTGTAATGAATTGAATGTGTCCAACACCATGAGTTCCTGGAAGAGCTTTGACATATTTTTGAGAAAATTCTCCTTTTTCTTTAGATTCTATCTATTTTCCGTATCGTTTCCGGTTGAATTCAAGTCAAAATTATTGGTGTTGCCTATGCAGGTTCCGTCCGTAAATTGTGGTGGGGACGCGCGAAAACATTTTGCGGAATGGTATGATTTGCTGCAAATTTTTTATATGGTGGTTGCTGTGTGTTGCGATTTGAGGTACGAAACCGTTTATGTTTTCATCTTGTGGGATTACAGGAGGTCCATCCCTTTTTGTTGCTGTGAAGCTTGTTTCTCATTCAATTCGAAAATCATCAATCCTGTTGCTGCTGCGTATCGTGTACGAATCAATTATGAATGGCAGCTACATGTTGGAGGCAAATGATATCCTGTCAACTGTGAGCAATCTTCTTAAAATCTGTTTGTGGCTAACTGTTTTTTCTTAGAAATCTTGGTGATGGTTGCCGCGTGAAATTATGGTTGGATTTGTTTGGTGTTTTCACTGCAGGTTTGTGTTTTTTGCAGGTTTTAAACAATCATCCTCAGATTGTATGTCAGATATTCCATCAGTGAGATCAGTAGAACGAGACATGTGATCACTTTTCCTTTAGGATCACTTTTTGTTTCTCTGTCATTTGATTAAATGGAAGGAATATAAATAGTTCCTTGTATGACTTAATGTCCATAAAACCGGTTCTAGAATTCCCAGTATCAACAAAAACTCCTCCTATAGAAGGAACAAGCTTTGTGATTACCCCAACATACACTATCACATTGCACGTTAGTCTTCACTAGCTCCAGCAATAACTCAACCAATTTTTCATCCTCCAGTACTGCAATTTTTGCATGGTACATATTGATGGGTTAATAAGTATAATGGTGGAAACAGGGTCTTTCGGAACTGCATCACTACTTTCTTCAGGTAACAACTCTACTGTGTCTACCGGCTTCACCTGCTCATATTAACGAGACCGCTTTTATACTTCACAGCTGCTATCAGTGCTCGAACCACACCATTCCTGTATTCATTGAACCTATGTGGGAATCCTCACTTTTACAAGATATTACTTGTGCACCAGGTGCAACTCCATTCAACAAAGGCTCCGTTTGGTGAAAAGCAGCAGATATACCAGCAACATGGGTGGCATGGGGATAAGAGTCCGTTAAAACATTCCCATTATTATATTAATAACAAATGTACAAACATCTAATTTGCCGAAGATGTCGTATTTTCTCTCAATCTTATAATTAGTTAAAGGTACAAAATTAGCAAGCAAAATGGGCTTGGTTTAATCATGTAATGGTTGTAAGCCTGTATGATACGGGCTCCGTTTGTAGTTTGAGAGGAAAAAAAACATTGGCTTGTAATTTATTTGGATATGTTCACATTCTTTCGAACTTTTGAAATGAAATGGGCTTTCGACTATGTTTTAACCTTCTCCACAATAGTCTTTGAATGGGCTTCTCGTGAGAACAACCAATGAGAATGTGTTCTAAATCTTTGATCCAATGTATTTTGTAATAATTTTTTACACAAAAAACTTTGGACTTGAGACATCAAACAAAAGGCGTTGACTAAGACTTTCCAGATTTTACTTTGCACAAAACTTTGTCTATAGAAATAACTGGATCCAAATGGTTATACACTTTGACACCTGACAATACGCCATATTCTGGTAACTTAGACCACCCCGATGCCCTGAATTAGCATAAAACCTTGACTGAAAGTTCTAAACCTCGCCAATTGAATAAAACATTTCCTGGTCTCAATCAAGAGACCAAATCCTCTCTGACCAATGACCCAGGTCAAAGTCACATAAACTTCCCCCAACACCTTACCTTATTATCCTGATGGCCTCAAATGAACCTGAACTTGGGCAAGAATAAAATAAAATAAAATAAAAAGTCAAAGCGACATTTTTTGTATTTTTCCTGAGTCATGGCTAGGGGGCCGAGCATACAAAATGAAAGCTAAATACAGGGTAGGACAAATTTGGGGTATGACACCACCACCAAAAGGATGCCGAAGCAAACTCACACCGGCTACTACCACCAAAAGGATGATAGAGATAACCATCGCACAATCAGACATCAACAAGATGACAGACTCACCACCAAAAGGACGATGGAGCAAACCCACACCGGCTACTACCATCAAAAGGATGATAGAGCAAACACTCGCACAATCTCACATCAGCAAGATGAAAGATCCACCATCAAAAGGATGATGGAGAAAACTCACTGGCTACTACCACCAAAAGGATGATAGAGCAAAACACTCGTAAAACCTGACATCAACAAGACGACAGACACACTACCAAAAGGATGACGGAGCGAAACTCACACCGGCTACTACCACCAAAAGGATGATACAACAAACCATCGCACAATCAGACATCCAAAAGATGACAGTAGGCCCACACCTAGGATGACGGAGCGAAACTCACACCGGCTACTACCACCAAAAGCATGATAGAGAAAACTCTCGTACAATCTGACTTCAACAAGATGACAGGCCCACCACCAAAAGGACGATGGAGAGAACTCACACCGGCTACTACCACCAAAAGTATGATAGAGCAAACATTTGCACAATCTAACATCAACAAGATGACAGACCCACCACCAAAAGGATGTCGGAGCAAACTCACACCGGCTACTACCACCAAATGGATGATAGAGAAAACACTCGCATAATCTGACATCAATAAGATAATATTCCAACCACCAAAAGGATGATGGAGCAAACTCACACTAGCTACTACCCCCAAAAGGATGATAGGGCAAACACTCGCATAATCTGACATCAACAAGAAGACAGACCCACCACCAAAAGGATGACGGAGCGAAACTCACCCCGACTACTAGCACCAAAAGGATGATAGAGCAAACACTCGCACAATATGACATCAACAAGATGACAGACCCCCCACCAAAAGAATGATAGAGCGAAACTCACACCTGCTACTACCACGAAAAGGATGATAGAGAAAACCCTTGTGCAATTTGACATAAACAAGATGGCAGAACCGCATCCAAAAGGATGATGGAGCGAACTCACGCCGGCTAATACCACTAAAAGGATGATAGAGTAAACATTTGCACAATCTAACATCCACAAGATGACAGACCCACCACCAAAAGGATGCCAGGGCAAACTCACACCGGCTACTACCACCAAAAGGATGATAGAGATAACCATCGCACAATCAGACATCAACAAGATGACAGACTAACCAGCAAAAGTACGATGGAGCAAACTCATACCGGCTACTACCATCAAAAGGATGATAGAGCAAACAATCGCACAATGTGACATCAACAAGATGATTGACTCACCACCAAAAGGATGATGGAGCAAACTCACATCGGCTACTACCACCAAAAGGATGATAGAGCTAACACTCGCACAATCTAACATGAGCAAGATGAAAGACCCACCACCAAAAGGATGATGGAGCAAACTCACACCGACTACTACCACCAAAAGGACGATAGAGCAAAACACTCGCACAATCTGACATCAACAAGACGACAGACCCACCACCAAAAGGATGACAGAGCGAAATTCACACCGGCTACTACCACCAAAAGGATGATAGAGAAACCCTTGTGCAATTTGACATAAACAAGATGAGTGAACCACATCCAAAAGGATGATGGAGCAAACTCACACCGGCTACTACCACTAAAAGGATGATAGAGATAACATTTGCACAATCTTACATCAACAAGATGACAGACCCACCACCAAATGGATGCCGAAGCAAACTCACAACGGCTACTACCACCAAAAGGACGATAGAGCAAACACTCGCACAATCAGACATCAACAAGATGACAGACTCACCACCAAAAGGACGATGGAGCAAACTCACACTGGCTACTACCACCAAGAGGATGATAGAGCAAACACTCGCACAATCTAACATCAGCAAGATGAAAGATCCACCATCAAAAGGATGATGGAGAAAACTCACTGGCTACTACCACCAAAAGGATGATAGAGCAAAACACTCGCAAAATCTGACATCAAAAGGACGACAGACACACTACCAAAAGGATAACGGAGCGAAACTCACACCGGCTACTACCACCAAAAGGATGATACAACAAACCATCGCATAATCAGACATCCAAAAGATGACAGACGGCCCACACCAAGGATGACGGAGCGAAACTCACACCGGCTACTACCACCAAAAGGATGATACAACAAACCATCGCATAATCAGACATCCAAAAGATGACAGACGGCCCACACCAAGGATGACGGAGCGAAACTCACACCGGCTACTACCTCCAAAAGGATGATAGAGAAAACTCTCGTACAATCTGACTTCAACAAGATGACAGACCCACCACGAAAAGGACGATGGAGAGAACTCACACTGGCTACTACCACCAAAAGAATGATA